ACGTACGATTGGTCATTCTGAAGGGTGATCAAATGTAGTGATGTAGTGATTGTGACCTATACACAACTATATAGTCCCGCATATATACTATTATGATAGACGGTGTATATATATATATATTGTATATACAATATATATTATATGTATAGTCTACATAAATAATAATAATATATATATATATGTAATATGCAAGCTATACCAAAGCATAGGCCCGTTAACATAGTACCCTGCTGGTTTAGTTTGTGCAGGATTGAGTCGCAATTTTCTAAATTCCGGACATCATCTTCCGAATTGTGGAGATATGAAAGACTTATTTGCAACAGCAAAGCTAAGTAGTCCTAAGTACAACTGGTGGTGAGTTGGAACTATTTAGAAGTAGTATTCACCAGTTACAACTCCAGTTCCAACTCATTAAGTTATTTACAACTTCTGAACCAATATATATGTTCATTAAGTTACTATAAGTTACAACTCCAGGAACATCTATTAAGTCGTGTTACATCCTCTGTTTCTTTAGCGTTCACCGTATATTCTTCCCATGATGGCACACCATTTTGGTTAGTTATGGTTAGTTCAGCCACCATAACATTCCCATTAGATTCCAGTAATAGATACAATGTGAGGCCCCCCAGTTATAAGTTGGTTTAGATTCGCCCCAGTATAATTTTTTTTGTACCATAAGCCATAGTTATTGGAGTTATGTGGCCCCCAGCTTAGCTATCTTGGGGGCCTCACATTGTATCATAATATCACCATTAAATTCCCCTGATGTCACCGTTCCAGTTGCCAAAAAATCACAAAAAAAATACCATAAAACCATCATTATATCCCATACAATCAAAAAATGTTGGTTGGTGGGTCCCATATTTCACTTAATTCACCATGTAATTCCCATGATATCCCCATTAAAAATGCTTGGTGAAAGCACCTGAAGCTAAGCGCCCCCACCTCCTGATGTTCTTCCCACGTGCGACGCGATGCAGTAGGATCCTGAGGCGGGAGCGAGAAGAACTGCTTGGTGGCGAAGCAACTGCTGTGCGGATATAGCTATAACACACACATATGTGTACTGTATTTTGATATATGTCAGTTATAGTTACATATATGATATACATGTCTGATATATAATGTAAACACATGAAAACTATAACTATATTATGTAACAATAAATCATACATGTATATAACGACGTGCCAACTGTATATGACTCATATATCACTGGCATCATTGGGATGGAAATAAGGACGTTTCCATATAAGATCATGAAGATATATTCCCATAGATTTATGCAGAATGACTTTGTCTTTGAGGTATAGATATATATATATATCCACAGATTCCATGGTAATAATCTATTTGGATCTTTGATATATTCACCATTCGAGGCAAGAGATGGAAATATTAGAAACCTGGAAACCTCACCAAGGTGAAGCCAGTTTCGACTGATACTCCCATTCCAAGTGTGGTTTTTACCATCCCGGTAGGAAACACCATGTCTGGTTGGTGGTTGAGTCCTACCCCTCTGAAAAATATGGTTTCGTCAGTTGGGATGATGAAATTCCCCATGTATATTCCTATAGAAATAACCATTTATAACTGGTTGGTGGTTTTAGCTATCTTGAAAAATATGAATCAATGGGAAGGATGACATCCCATATATGAAATGGATATTATGGAAAATAAAAGCCATGTTTGAAACCACCAACCAGATGTGGTAAGTACAGAAGCTTCCGGTTAAACGGGAATCCCGTAGCGCCGCTACAACTGGAGTTTTCGCTGGATCTGAAAAACATCCCCAGTCATATGGCTAAAGGCGTCATTTCCAACGGCGAGGTAGCCAAGTGGGTATTACATCAATACTGGATTTTTTGATTGCTACTGGCAATTGGGTACTCAAAAACTAGCCACATCCGAACATTTCAGGGTTTGGAGTTGCCTCGCTAACTGATGGCAGCGAACCAAACAACCCCACCCACACAGAAGGGATTGAACATGGCAAAAATGGCAGCCTGTAACTATATAATTTGTTTAAAGTGAGAGTGATGCAAAGACGAATGCTGGTGTATACACGTGTCTGACTGAACCACAGCAATTCACTAACCTGAAAATGTGAATTAAGGCCACTTGGGGATGATTGCCCTTACGAAGCATCCCTTTTTTTAAGCTGTGTGAGCGATCAGGTCGCTAGGATGCGATCACGGCGAGATGCAAAGCTGACAAGCACAGCCCAATGCACAACCTATGATTTGTTCCTTTGATATCCTTTGATCGTAAACTCGAAAATTCATATCAAAATAGAGCTTGCTCGATATTGCCAAACTGAACTAGAGTCGCAGTCGAAAAACCAGTTCACATCACCACACACCTCATAGAGCACCTCAATGTCCAGGTTGTAGGGCTTCTCGATCTCATATATAGATATAGCATAAAATACATCCAACAATGCCAGAGAGGCATCCATCTGTCCTACCACCACAACTCGAGACAAGCATGGCTACAGGTTTGTTGCCAAGTGATTCCAAACTCACGCTGTGACTGTGTATCCTATCAAACAAAGCACCCCAAAAGATAGAAATATCAATTCCTGCTAGAATGATGACAATTTACTGTTCTATGTTCCTTTGGGTTACACCACAAAAACATCATGTACATTTGCAGTGGATGATTAAGTACCAAAAATGCCCAAAGGCGTAGCTACGTATAGTTGCTTTGATTTTCGAAGCATGGTTCGGTATGGTGATCCAACCCAAAATCAAAATTCTTATGATGGGCATCTGATTCTCTAATAATGTTGATTAACTACTACGTCCCAATATGGTTGTATAATCCATCTATTGACCATGACACACATTATTTGAGTTGGGTCAGAGCAAAATAACATACGTTTACAAACCATTCACCCACCACGTACCCAGCCTGTACCCTCAAAACTGGATGTTTCAGTACAAAAATAGACAACTAATTGGATTTTTCCCCACCTGCCAGGTGAGGGTTGTTAGATTTTATCAGAGTTGATCTCTTCCTCCTCGACTAGCTCTCCTCTTCCTCTTCTCCTCCGCCTCCTCGTCCGCCTCCTCCCCCTCCTCTTCCACTTCCACGTCCACTGTTGCCTTGCCAACTCTTCGCCAAGCTCCTCGCCAACGTCCGAGCTCAGTGTGCACCGCTCGACCTCAACCTGGGACCTTCCCAGCTCAGTGTGCACCGCTGGACCTCAACCTGGGACCTGCCCAGCTCAGTGTGCACGGCTGGACCTCAACGGCCAGATAGAATGCCAGAAGATATGCCAGATAAAGTGCCAAAATGTTTGCCAGATAGAATGCCAGAAGATTTGCCAGGTAATATGCCAGAAGATATGCCAGGTAGAATGCCAGATATGGCAGAAGATATGCCAGGTAGAATGCCAGAAGATATGCCAGATAGAATGCCAGAAGGTATGCCAGATAAAGTGCCAGAATGTTTGCCAGATAGAATGCCAGAAGATTTGCCAAATAGAATGCCAGAAGGTATGCCAGATAGAATGCCAGATAAAATGTCAGATAGAATGCCAGAAGATTTGCCAGTAACAAAATGTATAAATGTCATGGTGGGGATCACACGAAGTAAAGTAATTGTTGCTTGCTGCGGTACCCATACTTACAAGGTGGCCCCCCCCCAGTGATGTGAACGTGGGTCTATAAAGCCCAGTAGCTACAGTTATACAGTTCGCCCCCAACTTTGCGATTTCGTGGCCACGGGGGCCCCATTTAGTACAGTGATGGCCCGAAATACCAGTTATAAGTCAGTAGGGTCACTTTCATTTATATGGAGTTATAAACCTATTTATAGCCATTTATAATCATCTAAAACTGGAATTTGCGGCCAAAAAACTGTATGGTCAAGTTTTACCCTCATCTGTTCTATCCCTATTCAAATGCTTCCTCATCTATCCCGCAAAGCTAATATACTTCGAGGCCGCAGATCCATGCCCTTCGTCCAAGCATCACAGCAGCTCGTGTCTTCTTTCACCATGGGAATCTCGACGACCTCACCATTTCTGCGGAGATGAAACAATCCTGCAGTTAGGTGATAATACCTACAATGTGAGGCCCCCAAGGTAGCTAAGTTGGTTTGTAACTCCAATAACTATGGTTTATGGTACTTATAACGAACTAGTTACTGGGGATTATAAACCAACTTATAACTGGGGGGGGCACCACATTGTAGGATTTAATTGTTATTCTTAAGCCAATTTAGTGATAATACCACTTGTAAATGGTCAAAAACATGGTTATACATAGGGTTACATAGGTATAAAATGCGGTTATCACTAAATTGTGTGATTTTACTGACTTATAACTGGTATGTTGTTGGGCCCTAACTGTGGGAAGCCTCAAAGGATCCTCTGATGGGCAAGACAATAACCACTCTTAACCATTCGCCACTGTAAACAGTATACAGTCTAGATATCGTAATTAGGTAATCATAGTTCATCAATGTTCATCCTGCACCATTCTTCAATGCGTTCAACACACCTAACATACTGAGAATCATTCTGGACACATTCTAATCCCAACCAGCCATGAGCCATTGTGGGGTATCACGGTCCGGTCGTTGTGAGGATGTTACATTGTAATTTTCCCAGATTCTGTTGGAGTATCTGCGGGTCCCCTTCTTGAAGCTCTTTGAACCTGCGGTTGCCACTAATGTTGTGCGTAGTTGGTCATACAGTTCATAGAATAGTGCACAGTTAAGGCCAGAAATACCACTTATAAGTGGTTATTTCTATGGAGTTATAATTCCATAAATGGGGATGACCTACTCATAACTGCTATGACTAGGGCCATAACAAGGTCTTGGCTTCGCACCCGAAGTTTGTTCCTTCCGGTCATCGGGTCAACCTCAAATGACTAGCGGTCCCTGGAACATGAGCCCAACTGGATGGGAAGCGGTCCGGCGTCATACTCTGTGACCGGCATGTCCTGTATCACTGAGCTGAGGTGTGGTCGCGATCTTCTCTACATCTACATCTTGGTCCTTTCGGAGTATCTGCGAAAGATCAACATTGCACAGGCCCCAACAATGTTCGAGATCTTGGTAAAAGTTGTCTGGCCACTACCAGACGGGGACACTATGAAGTAGAACTTGCTGCTTGACATCTCATCATAGCCCTCGACAGACTTCAGCCTCTTCTCGAAATCATTCAGCGCTATGAGCCTTTTGATGTAGTTCTTCCAAGGCTCGGCATTGTCGAATGCATGGTCGCGAGACACAAAAAGCTTCGATGTGCCAATAAGAACATGGCAAGCTCCTGTTATCATGGAACATGTTTTTAGCTGATTAATGTGATTAAATCAATAATAAACCATCCCCCAGTCATCACCATTTTTAGTGGTATGTTTACCATCAATCTCATGGGGGTGGTCAACATGGCATTGTTTTAACTACAGTACATTTTCCCATCGCAAAGTGACGTACCTGGCAGTGTCCTGGCCCAAGGCCTTGGGGGACCACAAATGGCTTCGTCGATTTTTAGTATGAAAACCATCACCCGTTCATATGGAAAACACCCCATTTCTATATATTTCTATGGTCCCAATGGAATGTGGAAATTCTCTACTAAACCATGGTTTCGTTTGGGGGGTGTTGAGCCATACCCAAATTTTGACCACCCAAATGGGGATATAATTTCACGTGAACCTACTCTAGCTGGGAGCAGGATCAATCGCAGGATCAATCAGTACACATTCATAGCACGCTGAAATCCAGGAAATTTGTTACCCAGAGTTGATAAACCCACGGTTTACCAGTGAGGGTGGGGTACCATCCTACTTCATCAACACATATGATCATCTGGTTGGTGGCTTCAACCCCTCTGAAAAATATTAGTCAATGGGAAGGATTATCCCATATATTACATGGTGGTGCCCCCCTGTTATAAGTTGGTTTATAACCCCCATTACCTATAGTTATATCTGCCATAAACCAAAGTTATGGGAGTTATAAACCAACTTAGCTAACTATGGGGCACCACCTTGTATATTATGAAAACAAACATGTTTGAAACCACCAACCAGTCACCCTCTCCGTCAACAAACATGGATAGCTGAGAACTCCGGGAACGAAATGGCCAGTTCCATGGGTACATCAGCGACCAGATGGGAACCAGCAAGGCACTTGATTATCAGAGGGTAATCAGATCGGTTATAAATTCAAGTTTTACCTAAAATAATCTTGGTATAATGAGATTACTTTGACATTTTTTCTGGGGGTTATTTGGAGGGTCTAGGTGTGTGTATATATATATATATGATTATATATATATATATGATTACATATATATATGATTATATATATATATATATATGATTATATATATATATATTACATTCCCACTGTATCACGATAAAATGCTTGGTTTATCCCTGTATTTTTCACCATGAAACCATAGAAACCTGGCTGCACCTGCACTCCGTTGCTGTCAAATGAAGACGCAGTCAGAGGAACGCGGATCGCATCTGGCCTCAAGCAGCTCATGAGACACCTTTTTTCGCGATCCCATCACTGGTAGGTGCAAAGCGCCATAAAGCTCCAAGTTGGGATTCTTCATTAAACAAGTTCACCACATCATGTTAAGTCTGGTGAACAAATGTCACATGAGTTGAAGAAATGTCTGGTGAATTTGAGTATAACTCAAGTTCACCACATCATGTTAGGTCCGTCGAATTTGTTTTGAGTCAGTTGGGATACGCATCGCCAAGACTGGAAAGCCCAATTATTTCACACCACTTATCAAAGATCCAAAGAAATGAGATTTGTGAAGGGGCATTCTGAATGGCTTTAAGTGGTAGCAGCCATTTCAATTTTTTGGTAACGGGATACCATTCCTGAAAAAAACACAGAAACGCATGCAAGATTTGAGATATACAGTATCGGAGTAACGAAAAACTGGAATCAAAGCATGTGTTATGTGTTTTGTGTCCCCGCAAATTAAATACTGGTTGGTGGTTTCAACCCCTCTGAAAAATATTAATCAGTTGGTAAGCATATACTATGGAAAATAACAAATGTTTGAAACCACCAACCAGAATATCATCAATAATGCCCATGAGTCAAAATCATCTCCAAAATCTCTGTTTTGTCCAGAGTCACATCTTACTTTCACGTGGCAACCTTAGAAACACTGCATCCATCCATTGTTCCTCGAATTGTGTCAACCATGTCAACATATGTCAACCCATCAACCGAGCTGACAAACAACCATTCATCCAGGGAAAACATGAAAATCCACTGGTTAGTCCTGAGCTTCCCCTTAAAAAGAATGACCATGTCGGTGTCAATCTCCCATTTCCAGACACAGCTGGGGGAAAGCCACCTGCCATGTTCCCAGCCAGCCTCTGTCCATAGCTCACTGCATTGAGGTTCGCGACTAGCACTAATTCCCCTGTCAACTCCTGCGCAAAACGCGCAGCTTGACTTGCTGAATTCGGGAACATCATTCCGTGGTGTACCCCCCAGTAAACTAACATAGCTATGGAAAATCACCATGCTATTCATGGGAAAATCCACTATTTCTATGGTCATTTTCAATAGCTTTTTGTATGTTTACCAGGCCGGGTACCCCCCAGTAAACATACAAAATGGATGGTTATGCATGGGTTTTCCATTGGGAAATGATCTAGACATGATGGATTTTCGAAAAATCTTTGTTAGTCTACTAGAGTGGATTCTACTAAAACTGGGATATTTTCTGCAGTTCCTGGGCTTAAAACATATATTATGCATCCCTACTTCTCCAAAAAAACTCAGAACATATCACATTATTTTCCTTCTGAGGCTACGCATCCTTTGAAAAAAACACAAAAAAGTGCGCCTTTCAGGCCCGCAAAAACCACCAAAGACGCAGTGATGGGGTTTGATATTGGTATAGGTCAGCAACACTGATCCCTGAACATGTATGGTTTAATATGGTTTACCCTGTGGTAAACAGCCACATAACTATGGAAAATCGCAAGTTTGAATGGGAAAATCAACTATTTCTATGGCCATTTTCAATAGCTTTTTGTATGTATACCCGAGGGTAATACTGAACAACGATCATCATTGGTAGCACATTTCAGACTCATTCCCTTTTTTCAGGTGATATACCTGTAGAAGCCAATTTTTTGCCCCCCTTTTGTTACTATTGTTTCTGGATTACATCCCATTTCTTTTGCTGGCTCATAGTTCTTTAATACAACCAATATCACCTGACAGCAAAATCATATTTTTGTTTCATAATACTCAGACAACACTGTCTATTATCCTGGTTCATATCTTGATCCAGAATCTTTATCCATATAATCCAGTGGTTGGTGGTTGACTAAAGTATCACAATAATGTGCTGGCTTACTCAACTATTACTGAATTATGGAGATGAACTAAAATATAACGACTAGTTACTGAATTGATGGCATAATCCGCTATTCTTGGATTTGATGAAGTGGATTTTCCATTGGCATATCACAAATCCACTGCAGCAAATCCAGGTATCTGGTTCTTCCTGATATAGCAATCTGGTTAGTACCCTGGTTGATAAACTCCCTAAGCAGACTTATCCGTGAATAAATGGGTAAACTACTCCCAGCATTCACCGGTTACTAAATGAGTGGCTTCTTAAGCCATGGGAGATCCCAAGTCATCATGGCTTTCACTACTAAGTCATGGTCATCCATGACTTGGATGTTTTTTTGGGACATCACTTGAGAAACCCAAGAAAAATAGGATGAAGTTAAACTTCCTGGCAAAAAAAAAACAAAGTGGGTGATATATCCCATTCTATTCCCACAAAATATCCAATTGAATCACCATTAAATTACCAGTAAATTGCCATTTCTAGGCTTAATTTATCTAAAAATACCCAAAACAACATTAATGTGGGTGAATCAAAAACAATTTCACTAACCTAGATTTGAATTAAGGCTAATATTGGGATGATTTCCCTATAAAAACCATGATTCCAGTGAGGGATAACAGGAGGCTCCTCCTGGCTGGGCACTTGTCCATCCGGCTTGGTCAAACGTAGGCGCACATGGACCGGCAAACCCGGACGGAAGACCTGACAGTCTCTGCTCGAGATGCAGATGGAGTTCCAGGTCCTAAGATCTTTGGGAGAAAATGGGAGAACAACTACAGTTTTTTGGCCGGAAATACCAGTTCTAAATGGTTAGTTCTAAATGGCTATTTCTACAGGGTTTTCAATCCATAAATGGAGTTATTTCACTGACATTTCTCGCTGGTATTTTCGGGCCATAACTGTAGGGGATTTTAGTGGAAAAATCGTTCTTTTCGGAAAACTGATTCCAGTTGAGAAGAGAAACACTTTTTTGTTGCTCGAAAAACTTGAGAAACAATGATTTTGGAAGGGATTCTAGCTGGAACATTCTATTCTTCAATAAAATTGGTATATTTGGGTAGTTGAATGTGGAATTTGGGTGGTTGCAGGTATCATAGCTCTAGAAGTTAAGATTTGAGCCATAACAGGAAGAGCTGAGCCTTGGTACAGCAGGGGATGTGCTTCCCCTGATGAAATTTTCCGGCTCAATGAAAACCATGGGCGTTGCACATGCTAAACGTGAATTGCTTGAAGAAATCGAGAGTTTGAACAGGCTATATTTCACAGATTTATAATATAATACACATTGTATAGACATAGATAAGGAGTTGCTGGGTTGAATTAATCAACATGTTGTTGGGAACCCATGGTTTCTTGCATGTTTCTTGCGCATCGGCTGCCGGTATCTTTGACCACCTTTATGGGTCAGTAACTTCCAGACATCTGGGTGTGAAAACTTCGATCAACGGGAGATCTTCAGGATTATTTTGTGGGGATATTCCCTGAAATTTAGGCCTGAAAAATAGGCCAAAAATATATGGTAAGTACCCTCTGGTAATTTAACGTAGCTATTGAAAATGACTATTTATAGTGGATTTTCCCATTGAAAATGGTGATTTTCCATAGTTATGTTAGTTTACCGGAGGGTACCTCCATTTTAGGATCCTGAAGATCTCCCATTGATATGATCAATCTGCAAAGTTCCGAGGCTGGAGTATCACCCCACGAATTGTAGATGGTTAACTGGGATTATAACCTACAGTTGTGGCCCAACGAACGGTTATTTCAATGAGATTATTTCATGATGTATCACTAACTAGTTATGAGCTATATATATATACATGTCCATTTATAACTGTTTTCATGGCAATAACTATATTTATAAATGGGATAGGCCATGAATCGGGAGCCGTTTTTGGTGATCCTCCAGCAGGTCATCATCGGGAGATGGTTTCTACAAACCATGTCTGGTAAAAAAATGTAACATTGATCTGGTTGGTGGTTGAGCCACCCCTCTGAAAAATATGAGTTCGTCAGTTGGGGTTACTCTTCCCAACTGAATGGAAAGTCATAAAAGCCATGTTCCAAACCACCAACAGAAGGTCATTTGCTGTAACAATTCGTGGCTTCATCTCGGAATAGGTTCGTGGGGATGATAGTAGGGATGATTCCACCCTCCCGCGAAAGCTCGCTGATAAAATCCCCAAAAAAGAGATACCCTCTGGTAAACATACAAAAAACTATGGAACATCACCATTCTTCACGGGACACCTCTATAATATATAAATGGTGATTTTCCAGTTTGCGATGTTAAATTACCAGAGGGTAGCAAGTTTACACATTAAGCCCAAAGCAAATGCCAATATTGGTTTGTCTGAAAATCGGGTACACCTGAGTTCCCATGGTTTATCATTCTCAATGGGAATTTCAGGATCCTAGAATGGAGGTACTGTACCATATAAGATCATATTTTGTTGGGATATTCCCTTACATAGGCCTGAAACATAGGCCTTATATATGGTAGGTACCTCCAATAAATCGGTTCCTAAAATGGCCATTGACATTCTTCCATTCAAAATGGGTCTCTGGAAAGTATAACCAATTCTCAGACATACCCATATTCAATCTTAATCCCAAAACTTAGGCTATCTGAATATATCTGAATAATTGCAACGATCCCATTGAAATTTTAAGCTAAATTCAAACACACAACACTTTTAACACAATATGCTTGGTGGCTCATCTCACTTAGTAAGTGGGTTAGTTCACCCCAGTGATTTACATGGGATTTTTGGAGCGGCTTACTCCACTCAAATAACTGGGGTGAACTAACCCACGAGCCCACGATTCGTGGGAGTTCGCCAAACCTCGGTTTGGCCTCCAGTCCGTCGCCCAGCTCCATGTCCACTTGCAGATCGGATCCCTGGTATTGCACCTGGGGGGCTGTTGGAAATCCTGGTTCCGTATTTTGAGGATCAGACAATTGGAACTGGTGAAGGTCACGGGGATTAGCACCCATTTATAACCCATGAAAAAAGTGAGTTCAATGGGATATTAGATTAATTATACCCTAGTTAACTTAATAAATGGGTTATAAATGGGTTATCTTCTATCAGTTGGGTTATCTCAGTTAATTTATAAATAGGATAATAATGAAATAATCAGAAAACAATGAAATCGTTCAAATACTGAAAATTCTGGTGATGCCAAACTTGAACTAGAATTCCAGGCGCACGGCCTCCCGATCTGACTTTAGAAGCTGATACGACTTGGTAATCACCAGGCTGGCTGGCTGCCCACGAGCTGTACGATGATACCCCAAGTACCCTGAAATCCTGAGGGGATTTCAACCATCCACAAAATCACCGTACATGGGTGGTCAAAACCATCCCCAGTCATGGTAGGTTTCTGGCAGCCAGGGTTTCCCACATGATAATCATTATATGCTTGGTCATCATCTTCAACATGTTTTGACCATTTACCAACATCAAGAGATGTCAAGGGCACATCCCAGAGGGGGTCCGAAAATACAGCGGACGCTCGCAAATGAAGTTTTCGCCGGGGTTTCAAGGTGTGAAAAATCTGCTTTGTGGCTCATCCCACGAATCGTAAGTGGGTTAGTTCACCCCAGTGATTTACATGGGATTTTTGGAGCGGGTTAATCCACTCAAAAAACTGGTGAACTAACCCACTTACGATTAGTGGGATGAGCCGCCAAGGGTGATTTCAGCCTAAAAAAACCCTAAAAAACACGGTTTTTGTCACCATAAGAATGTCTTACAGAAATACGGCCCGAGTTATACCAGTTGTAAGTACAAAGAAAACCCCATTGATAGAATGTATAATCAGTATAATACAGTATAATCCCATAGAAATAACCAGTTCGTTCACTAAAAACGCCGTGGCCATTTTTCGCCGTTGGATGGTCGTTCTGTGGAAAAACTCCGTTAAATCATCCTTGAGAGTCCTTGAGAGTCCCAACTCACACAGCCTCTGATGATCTAACAAGGAAACATCACTTGAAGAATCTTTAAAAACAAAACGCTAGTTCATTATTAATCTACAGAAAAATGGCCATTTATTAGATATAACTGGTTAGTTCTTTGGGGTTATACATTCTATAAATGGAGTTTTCTTAGTACTTATAACTGGTACAACTCGGGCCTTAACTGTATTGATCTACAAATGTTTGAAATGCTTCAAGCTTAAAAAAAAAGGTCAGGGATGAACTATTTCAGACCTACATTACTAACTACCTCACAGATTTTCAATGGTTCTGGCTTGAACTCCTTACATCAAGGGTTTTCTGGTAGTCAAACATGCTGGAACACGCCCACCATACATTTTGTGGGGCCACCCAGTTATAAGTTGGTTTAGAAGCCCGAGTAACTAGTTTGTTATAAGTACCATAAAAACCATAGTTATTGGAATTATAAACCAACTGAGCTATCGTTTGGGTTCCCCACATTTTAGATGATATTCCTATGAAAACCTACATGTAGTTCGGGGATTTCCCAGCTAGCCATGTTCGATCGGCAAAGCTTCAACGGTGACTACCGGAGCCCATCCTTATCGCCTCTTCGCAGTCGCTGTTTCGCTCATTGAGACATGTCTTTATGTTGGTGGTTTCAATGTGAGATCCCCAAGAGAGTTGGTTTATGACGGTATTCCCTATAAAAAACTAACATAGCGAACTGAAAAATCACAATGTTTCATGGGTAAATTCACTATTTCTATGGCCATTTTCCATAGCTATGTTAGTCCACCAGAGGGCAATTCCTATAAAAAAGGCTAGAAATTTCGGGGAAGCCCCATCTTCGGAAAGCTTCATTTCCAAACATGGATCATCAGAGCCCGCACAGAACATGTCGATCATAAAAGGCGGTGCCCCCCCAGTGATGTGAACGTTGGTTTGTAATCCCATTCACTATAGATAGATCATGATATATCTACCATAAGTCCTAGTGAAATTAGAGTTATGTGAGCCCCAACTTAGCTATCATAAATCAGCTATAAATCCCATGAAATCCCCATTTCCTGCGGTTTTCCTGTGATTATGGGGGCACCACATTGTACAAGTATTCCAACGGACATATCAACCCACAGCGCACAGATGGGCACTGAATGAAGTGCCAGGTGGCTGGAAGCTGCTGAGTGCCGCTCTGCCTTTCGCCAGTGGGCCCGTACACCACCTCAGCCCGCAGCTGGTAATGCGGAAAAGGCACGTTTGGTGGTGTTCCCCAAAACAACATGGGGCTGTAGTTGATTAACTATGTATTATAGGGGATATAATCAGAATGTACCTATAGTTCATGGGATTTTGAATGGTTTATAAACCAGACCTTGTACTTGAAGGTGCACTTGGGGTGACTTTTTACGGGTATTACGTTATAACTATGGCAAAAACCCTCCAAGAGTTGGGATAGTTGACGCCTACAACTACGGTTATTGACTTTTACCTGGAACTGCACCCCTAAGTAGTTACTTAAGTTGATGTATAAGCAAAAAATCTAACTACTGGGTTTATAGTGTATCGAACTAGTTCATGGAGCTTATAAACCAACAGAGATAACGGCAAGTTTGATAGGGTCAGTTATCATCAACCATGACCGTGGAGTCCGTTATATTTTCATACAAATTCATATCTGGTTGGTGGTTTTAACCATCTTGAAAAATATGAAAGTCGATGGGGATGATTATCCCATATATGAAATGGAAAATAAAAAATGTTCCAAACCACCAACCAGATATTTTGAATGTGTGTCCCAGTTCATGCAAACTGACTTATACCTGGGTACATCCCAAGCCGATGTACTTCCAGCATGCAACCCAATTATCCTCTGGCAATTTAACAGAGCTATTAGAAAAATCGCAATTTTACAATTGCTAAAAATCAACAAACATGGGGAATTTTCAATTGCAACGTGTGAAAGATCACCATAGGGATCCATACAATGTGAGGCCCCCTAGATAGCTAAGTTGGTTTATAACTCCAATAACTATGGTTTATGGTCGTTCTGGAAAAGCTCCGAAATCATCCCTGTGTTTTTTGGGACTCAGGACCAACTCACACAGCCTCTGATGATCTAACAAGGAAATATCACTTGAACAATCTTTGAAAAACACTAATTCATTACAGTTATGGCCAATGGGATTATACATTCTAAAAATGGGGTTTTCTTAGTACTTATAACTGGTAAAGGGCCTTAACTGTAGGGTACCATTGGTGTTTCTTGTGGCAATGGAGACTTCATGGAAGGGTCCCATGAGTACGGCCGCTGGAATTACACCCTCAAAAACCTCAAAAAAAAAACGATGTTTGTGCCGTCTGATGTAAGAAACAATAACATCAATAACTAAAAAAAACGATGTGCATCAACAATATTCCTGCTATATACCACCATCAATGGCAACATGTCCGAATCGCATCAACAACACTTGCGCCACTGATTTGCTTCAGCTGACCCGTGCTGACTTCATATACACAACAGACCAGTTCGTTAACCCAGTTCTTTGCGTCAATATCTCGCTATCACAAATCAACTTTATATCCAAATCCCAATAAACCTACAGTTGTCTTACAGAATGGTGCTCCCCAGTGATGTGAATGTTGGTTTATCCACTAGCTAGTTCGTTAAATCTACCATAAACATCCATAAACCATACAAAGTCGGGCCCCCTAGAGGCCCTAGATAGCTAAGTTGGCTTTTATCAGCAATTTCACTATGGTTTATAGTACTTATAACTACAGTTACTAGGGTTTGTAAACCAACAAACATCACTGGGGGGCCCCACATTGTACCATTCAAAAAATGTTGGTTTATAAACCTCATTAAGTAACTATCGTTATATCTACCATCAGAGCATAGTTACTAGGGTTTATAAGCCAACTTATAACTGGTTTAGATTCACCTCACTAACTAACTATCGTTATATCTACCATAAACCAACATTAATTGGGTTGGATACCCATAACAAGTGGCTGAATCAACATTAGTTAACTCTGGTTAAACCAGAAAATTGTGATATCTACCATAAACCATAGTTATTGGAGTTATAACCCCATTTATGGAATTATAACCTCCATTAACTACTTCGTTATATCTACCATACCCCATAATTCAGCCACTTTTCTAAGGCAACCGATCGGCGCAACCCCACGGGGGGGCCCAGGTTTGCCAAGAGGCCGTTGCCTCCACCTGGATGGCGCCTCCCGTAGTCCTGGAAGCGGTCGCGGAGGTCCGTTTCGGGAGGCGTTTGTTGGTGCATCAATAGCCCAGTAAGTATAGCTACTATACTTTATAACTGGCGTTTATACCAGGTACTATAGTATAGTATAGTTTATAACTATACTATAAAGTATAGCTACAAACTGAGGTTTATAGTTATAAGTACCATAAACATCTATAAACTATAGTTATTATTGGAGTTCTGTGGCCCCCAACTTAGCGATCTCGTGGCCACGGGGGCCCAAATGCCCGGTAGGTTGCGAAGATACTGTGGAAGAAATCCTGATCGGTTGGTAGATGGGCAAAATCCCCTCATCACGGATGCAGTGTTTCATAGTTCAATGGGAATTTCAACATGGAAAAACCTCTGAGGGGGGACTTACTCACCAGGCTTGCTAACCACCTTCCAAATGGTCAATGGGAAATTCAGGATCCTAAAGTGGAGGTACGTTAGTACCATATTTTTGACCATATTTTGTTAGGATATTCCCTGAAATTTAGGCCTGAAAAATAGGCGTTATATATAGGTACCTCCAATTTAGGTTCCTGAAATAGCCATTGAATAGTTAGCTAACAGTTTGCAACTGGTGCAGAATTTCTTCCATCCACAGTGTAATAGGTAATATATTTCTTATAATCCAATGTTGATACATCCATCACAGTCCAATTTATTATTTTTAAATGGTGATACAGCTATAGCCATGTGACAACCAAAGGCATTATGGACTATATATAATCATAATAACGTAGCTATGGAAAATCAGCATTTCTGATAGGTAAATCATGATAAAACATGATAATGCACTTACCCTCTGGTTATTTAACATAGCCATGGAAAATCCCTCATAAATGGAGGGTTTAATGGGAAAATCATCTATAAATGGGTCATGTTCCATGGCTATGTTAAATAACCAGAGGGTAATGTTTATATTGCCAATCCTAGATACCCTGCAAAAAATGACAAATTCTTTGCTGGTGAACGTAGATATTCCCATTAATACCAAAAGACTAGTTAGGATTAGCAGGTATCCATGTAAGATTGACCTAGTAATGTTTATAATGATGATTTTTGCGCAACAAATATGGTGATTTTTCATGGGGATATGATGGGATTCACAGGGATGTTTTCTTTGTTTTCCGGGTATCAAATGGGATATGTAACAAACCATACTTGCGGGTCCAGTTGATTATTCATGGGTATAACTCTGGTAGTAACCTCCATAAGTTGGGATATAGGGCCCATACAACTAATGCAATTTGACAATTATGGTGAAATTTGACCCACTTAGCGGAACTGCACACACAATTGATGATTCCACCCTGTGATATTCACAGACCATGCAAGTCCGATCTCCGCTATGTGAAAACATAAAAAGCGAAAAAGCAGATACAGGCAAATTCGAAGGCCACATCATAAACGATACAAGGCCACATCACAACATAACAATGCCTCATCCCAAAGAGACAGTTGGCTGCAACTCCCCACGCTGGCGCATCGCCTGTGGCGCTGGTGATAAGTGGCTCAGCGCATTGGCGTCTGCACGTGTGAACCACGCCCACACTCTGTGAAAGGAGTGCTTTCCAGCGCAGAATACTGCCCTTCTCAGGCAATCCACCCAGGGTTCAATTCAGCAGCAAGTGACACCTTTGGTGTTCACCCAAAACCGTCCAACATGAATCACCCAAAGGCCTTCACAGGTGTCACCTTTGGGAGAGGATGATTGAATCCCCACGATGCAAATACACATTACAACTGTAGATCAATGGGAGATCTTCAGGATCCAATACATGGAGGTACGTTAGTACCATATTTTTGGCCATACTTTGTGGGGATATTCCCTCACATAAGCCTTATATATGGTAGGTACCTCCAATAAATCGGTTCCTGAAATGGCCACTGAGTCGAGGGTTTGCAAGGAAATCAGAAATTTTCGTCAGAAATTTTCGTCTACAGAATGGGACTTGAACCTACGGAACTAGGACTTCAGTCAACCAAAATGGTGACTAATTATCTATAAAAATGGATAGTAATGGTGTGTGCTGTACTTGGTGGCCACTTAGTAAGTGGGTTATAACCCCAGTTATAAGTGGATTAACCCTACTTATCCCATTTATAACTGTGGTTATAACCCACTTACGATTCGTGGGCTGAGCCACCAAGTATGATATGTTACAGTAGTCTCCATCAAACCAGCTACCTTTTTTTTGTCACAGTCCCCTATCAAGAAATCCAGATAAAGAAAAACACAGCAAATCATCATGTTTATCATCTGGTAATTTAACATAGCTATAGAAAATCAGCATTTTTAATAGGTAATCCATCTATAAATGGGTAATTTTCCATAGCTATGTTAGTTTACCAGAGGGTATCATCTATAAATAATTGTCCATTTTCTATAGCTATGTTGACTAACCAGCGGGTAAACTAATAATCCCTACACAATGGGAACCCCTACATACCTAAGTTGCTTAATAACTCCAATAAGCCTGGTTTATGATACTTATAACTATAATATACATATGTATATATATATATATTTATTTATTTACTGGGGTTTATAAACCAACCAACATCACGTTTGGCCCTGATTCTAGGAACCATCCATGGTTCTATGTCATATACGACCAACATTTCACCATCTGCCGAGCTGCATCATGTCACTGGAGACTTCCGCGGTAAAGGTGGTAGTGCCAGTGTCATCCAGCCTCGGAGCTATGGCATTTCTAGCCTATACTGTGAGGTCCCCCAACATGGTGATTGGGATAGAATGGGAGTACGCACGCTCAAAAATATATTAATGATATTTATATATAGAAAAATAATGGATATATACAGTTTTTTTTGGGATATTTCTGGGATATACTGTGTATATTTAAATGTGGATGAATATGAGATGAATGTACTTACTGTAAAGATCCTTTTTTGGGTGCAGGCCAAACATCCGATGATCATCCCGCGGGATTCGTGGTTTATGATCATGTTTTCAATGGTAGTCTCTGGTGGTTTATGACGGTGTAGTGTTAAGTTATCGATGGGATAATCCTCCATCGTTCTCCAGGATGGGCTCAGCCTTGTGGCTTTGCCAACGCCGGGTCAAAATTGCCACAGTATGCACGAGTGTGCAATCTCGACAGTGTTCAAAATGTGTCGCAGAAGTGTTGCTAGTCACCACGAATTGAGTTGTTCCTCCAGCCTGTTTCGCCTCACGCATCTCCCGTTGACCCAGCGTAAGAAGGATCCTTCGACTGGAAGGAAAGCTGACTTTTGCACTCTCCGGTCTCTTTCCAGTGGCAAACCAAGCGGGGCGGGGTTCGCGACCAGGATGCCGCGGAAGAGCCACGGCCACCACGAATAACCAACTCGTCGGTAGCGGAATTCTTCGATTCGACTTATGCGGTTGCAAGCCCATCGCTACACTGACTCTCTGGATCTGCTTGCTGGCATGATTGGGTTGGTTTTGCCACCATTGCGTCGCCTTGGTGAAGTTTTTGTCAAGGGTCTCCATTTTTGCTTGCGGAAGCTTGAGGTCCTAGAGTCACTTCTTGCAGGTGGATTCAGAAAGGCTCGTTGGTTGATTATTTTCCAACCAAGTGTTGACGCGCATCTTTAGAATGATATATACACATTTTGAGATTGAATGGTTTAATAATTACTGTACTTCGAGCGATCCCCACCATGACATGTATACGTTTTGTTACTGGCAAATCTTCTGACATTCTATCTGACATATCTTCTGGCATTCGATCTGGCATTCTATCTGGCATACCTTCTGGCATTCTACCTGGCATATCTTCTGGCATATGTTCTGGCATATCTTCTGGCATATCTTCTGGCATTCTATCTGACATTCTATCTGACATACCTTCTGGCATTCTATCTGGCATATCTTCTGGCATTCTATCTGGCATATCTTCTGGCATATCTTCTGACATCCTATCTGGCATTCTATCTGGCAAATCTTTTGGCATTCTATCTGGCAAACATCCTGGCACTTTATCTGGCATACCTTCTGGCATTCTATCTGGCAAATCTTCTGGCATTCTATCTGGCACATCTTCAGGCATTTTATCTGGCATATCTTCTGGCATTCTGTCTGACATTCTATCTGGCGTTCTATCTGGCATATCTATCTGCCATTCTATCTGGCCGTTGAGGTCCAGCGGTGCCCACTGCGCTCAGAACCTGGCGGTTGAGGTCCAGCCGTGCCCACTCAGATCGGAAGCCGGCAGTTGAGGTCCAGCAGTGCCCACTGCGCGCAGAAGTTGGCGAAGAGATTGGCGAAGAGTTTGCAAGGCGGAAGTGGCCATGGAAGTGGAGGCAAAGGTGGTGGAGGAGAAGGAGGAGGACGAGGAGAAGAAGGAGAAGGAGGAGGAGGAGAAGAACAACTGCGATAAAATCTAACAACCCTCACCTGGCAGGTGGGGAAAGAAGAGGTGAAATCACATGAGCCGTCGTCAAAAATCGTTGTCATCGCTAAGTTCCAAAAAACGCGTATCGCTTTTGGGGGGGCCCTATTGCTATCCATGGTTTTGTGAAAAGAGGATGGTAAAAGGAACGGAAAGGAAAAGAAAAGGGAAAGAAAAAAGTAAAGGAAAAAGGAAAGGAAAAGGAAAGGGTCTATATGTGGTCTGGGGCTACTTTTTGAACAAATGGGTATCGCTAAGGTATCGCTATAATTTCGCCTCTTGCACGTACGCAACTTTGTGCAAAACAACTTCAGATGTGGACATTATACACAATTATAGGTATCACTTTTGGGGGGGCCCTATCGCTACACAGTGTTTGGCACACCTTCCAGACACAAGAGAACTCTCCTTTACAAAAGTAGTACACCAGAGTTTTCAACGTACCTTCCATGTACAACATATAAATATGCATATGAGTTGACATGTGAATATGTGTACATGTATGATTCATGTGTATGCATATACCTCTATATCCGTGGGGATTCATGGGGCTAAAAGTGTGGTTCTATGTAAAAGTATGAATACCCCAAGATAGAACACTTAGGCTTATGTCTGGATTGGGTAATTTGCTTCGGTTCAGAAAACTTGGGCCCGTGGGCCCTCTTAGACTCTTTTTGAAACATGTTGTTGGTTCACCCAAAATTACATGGTTTGAGCTCGGTTAAAGCACCAGAAGTCGAAACAAGGCTTATCCACTTAAAATGATCAGAAAGATCAATTTGGACAAATCTTTGCCCAAATAGGATGAACTCTCGGACTTCTAAAAACACATATTCAGAATGGTGTGAAGAAATCCACTTCATCCACTTTCGTTTGCCCCAAGATCTTCAACAGCAGCACTAGGCTTCCGCTTTGCGTCCAGGAGCTCAAGACCCGTCAAGCTGGTCAAAGCTTTGTGTTGAGTGCCACTGGATGCATCCTGCCGTTGCAGCGCCATGGAAGCAATGCCCAATCAATCAATGATTGACCGACGAAATCGATGGTGGATTTTTCCACTTACCCTCTGGTAAACTGCCACATAACGAACTGGAAAACCCATTTTCAATGAACAAATCGACTATTTCGACTGGGCCATGGCTTCAAGTTCGCGAACTGTTAGTCATTACCAGGCCGGGTAACGCTTCAATTACCGCAGAATCATCCACAGGGATCCAAAAAAATGAGGACTTGGGCAATAAGCCTGGGGCCTAGTCATATCCAAGCACTGGCTGGCTGAAAAAAAACGACCGAATGCAAGGTTGATCGAGAAATACTGTGGATGGGCCAGCGAAATCCTGCACCAGTTGGGACCTAGTAGGTACCAACAAAACTCTGTAAAGAATGGGATGATGATCGGATCAACCATCTACCAACTGGTGATTCGGATTTCGCTGGCCCATCCACCTTCATCTTCACCGTATCTCGTTGGAGGTCTTCATCCCAAAAATGGCCCGAAATGCCATAAGTCAGTAATGAGTCACCCCATATAAATAAGAATAAGCATAAACAGAACCATAGAAATCACCGGTAAATCACCATATAGATCCTACTAAATCCATATTTTTGTTACTTAATGTCAACCCCGGATTAATAAACCATGGTTATTTTCAATGAGGGGGTACTCCTCCAATAGTCATTTCATCCAATACTTAAATGGTACCCTACCAAACAGCCGTCTGGGGTTTATTAATCCAGGGTTGACATTAGATATGATAGATAAATTTACCATCAGTCCTAGTGAAAATGGCCATTTAGTTCGTTGATTTCCCCAATTTACCCATTAATAGCATGCTGATTTTCCATCGTTTTTTGTATGTTTACCAGAGGGTAAACCTCCATTTTCCCATGGTTTTCCTATGGTTTTCCCATTTTCCTATGGTTTTCCCATGGTTTTCCGCCAGGGCCCATCACTGCCCCGCCATCTGCCTGCCTCTCTAGATGTTGTGGCTTCCCATGGCATCAGCGGTGACCACAGGACCACGCTGCACTTACCGCCGCGGACCGGCTCACCGAAGGTGAAATTGGCAAAGACCTGGCGCCACTTGGGTAAGTTGGTGGAATGGTTGGGAGTTTATATGGGGGAATATATATATGTATGTATGTATGTATATATATATGTATATATATATATATATAGGCAAACTAGTCTATAAACAAACTATAATCTATAGTCTATGGTTGTATCATTGGCTTTAGACATAACTTAGAACTAACAGCACCTTGTAGAAGACCCTGGTGATTGATGGTTAGAAGTGACGTAGTAATAGCTGGTTCAATGGTATGGGTGTAGAGTGTCAACTAAAACCATCCAGTTGTGTGGCTAATTCGAGCCTTGGCTCATCGTTTACCCGGCCTGGTAAACATACAAAAAACTATGGAACATTACCATTTTTCAATATTTTTCTTGGGACAATCCACGAACTAAATGGTGATTTTCCAGTTCGTTATGTTAAATTACCAGAGGGTAGTCTTTTGGCACAGGTGGACATCCAAACTCTCCATTGATGGGCAACCAACAACAATGCTATGTTCCAAGCGTGGGAAAACAGAAGAAACGCATACAGAAGAACATAGATCAACAAAACTGTCATGTTTGATGAGTTTTGACACCTTCCATGGTTTTCGCGTTGCTTCAACATGATAACATAGTGACATAGTACAGTACTTCATTCAGAATTGGGATCATCATCGAATTTCAAACTCTGGGGAAACAAGAGGAAGGATATTCAAATCGACTGGCCGTTGCTGTCAATATCTTTTAATCTTCAACCTTCCAATCATGAAATTCTCTAGTTGGTGGTTTCAACCCCTCTGAAAAATATGAAAGTCAGATTGGAGATCATCATCCCAGCTATTGGGGAAAATAAAAGTCATGTTCCAAACCACCAACCAGTTATCAAACAAAGATCGGATGAGACAAATATCTCGGTAAATTATAACAATTCACTAACCAGAAATAAGGTCATTTGGGGATAGTTACCCCTACTATTTTCAATCTTCCAATCTTCAAACTTCCAATTCTTCCATGAATTTCTTCGATAAATGCATCCAACCTCCAGACCTGACCGGTAACAGCTCACACCTTGCCAGTGACCCGTTGCGTCGCAGGTGTGGAGGAGCCCACCATGAGGTGCGATTGGTCCAGCGTCAGAGACCTAAACAAAAAGCCATGGGAAAATACCGGAAAATGCTTTGTAAATAATGTCAACCCTGGATTAATAAACCCCAAACGGCCATTTAATTGGGAAAGTACCATTTAAGTATCAAATCATGACTATTGGGGGAATACCCCCTAATTAATAAACCATGGTTTATTAATCCGGGGTTGACATTATAGACAAAGTCGTAATGGTGCGAAACGTAGGGAATGGATGGGTTGCTGGGGGTTGCTGGGATGATTCTTAATAGTGATGACTGGGCATGATGACTGGGATCATTCCCGAAAATTCCCTGCGTTTAGCACCAGTAAGAAGTGGGGCCCCCGGTTACGAAATCGCGATTGGTTGGGGGTCACATAACTCCAATTTCACGAACTGGTTCATGATACTTATAACTCTAGTTAATAGGGATTAAACCAACTTATGTCTGGGGGGCCCACATTGTATCTAAAAAGTAGCAAGTGTTCTGTTTCATTTACTTTTTTTGATTGGGAAACCATCGCGTTTTTTTCTTTTGAGTGGGTGGTACGGATTTTTCATTGGGACAAACATCTCAAACATAGATCGATGCTGCCCTTGCCTTTTCCTTGCATTCCCTGTGTCAGTATACTTGGCGACGGAAAACACATACCAGGGTACCTACTTTTGGGTATTCTATAGATCCAAAACTCAGATCCTGGTCAATCTTTGGTAAAAAGAAAGTCCTTTGAATCCTTTGCCAGTTTTGATGGATATGTTCCATAGCAAAAAAAACTGAAGGGTTATATAAACTACTCGCCTGCCGCCCCAGTCGGGAATGACATGGATTAAATCCCAAACATTCGCCACAGAACATTGGGGTTATGGCCCTTTATGTACCCGTTATAAGTCAGAGAAATAACCCCATTTACTATTTATAATTAGCCATTTATAACTGGTTGGTGGTTGAGCCCTACCCCTCTGAAACATATGAAAGTCAGTTGGGATGATGACATTCCCAATATATGGGAAAATAAAAAATGTTCCAAACCACCAACCAGATAATCATAGAAATAACTGGTAAACGGTTTGAAAAAATGGGGTTTTCGAAAAGCCCAGGATCGTCCCTATCCGTCCCTATCCGTTGGCTGGCTGTTCGGGACCGGTAAGTTTTCGAGAATGCGAGATGTTTAAGAATGGATTGGTTTACGGGAAAATCTACAGGAAACCATAGATTTTCTCATTAAATAAATAAATATATATATATATATGGGTTTTTCCTGTAATCGTTCCCTTAAACCAATCCATTGAATGTTGGTGCAAATAACTTGGTTATATATTTTTTAACTAACTAGGGTTTCTTGGTCAGACAACAAACGAGTTAATGTGGTTTAGAAATCACAAATAACTTGGGGGGTCACCTTTTATGCAGTGGGTGATTGCCCAACTGGCACGAAAGATGGGATAGCTATCCCATGTCTAATCGTAGAATCTCCGCAAAAACGCGAACAAAACTTTATCACCGACAGTTATAGCCCTTTACCAGTTATAAGTCAATGACATCACCCCATTTATGGAATTATAACTCTATAGAAATAGCTATGTATCATCATAGAAATAAGTACGTATTTCCGGCCAAAAAACTGCATGAAGCTACCCTTCTCCACTTGGTTTACCCATTCGGCATACGAGACACACTTGGAATCGCGGCAAGACGTACTCCTCCACGCTGAATGGTGCCTGGGAGGGTGCCTCTAACCTAGGATAATCGGATTGGTTGAAACTAGACCCATGTTGTATACTAATTATATATACTATATATATATATATATTATATATATATATATTTATATGTATATTACTATATTCTGGGAATATATACTACAGTATATATATATATATATTGGTTGGTGGTTGAGCCCCACCCCTGTGAAGAATGATGGAGTGGATTAACTATTGGTGGTTCACCCCAGTTATAAGTGGATTAACCCGCTCCTTATCCCATGTAAATCACTGGGGTTATAAGCCACTTACGAGCCGTGGGATGAGCCACCAAGTATTTTTTGTTGATAAACATGGATACACCAACAATGTTCTATCGAACTCCCTGGGCCAGTTTCCTCTGCATTGCAATCACCGTTTCGAGGACATCGGAGTAGACATACAATTAGTGGGGCCCCCAGCCACGTGATGTGAACGTTGGTATATAAAGCTCAGTTATAGTTATCAATTATAAGATATTATAATTATAAGTACAAGCTATCTTTTGGAAACTTATAAGATAGATATTTCACTATGGAGTTATGTTATTATTTCACTATGGGGGTTTATTTCCATAGTGAAATTGGAGTTATGTGGCCCCCAGCTTAGCTATCTACGGGGCATCACTTTGTAGACGCACAACATATCTGTGGCCAGTCTTCAAGCTCTGACCCATGTCCATCCAAGATTATCCAAGTAGACATGGGCTTCGTAACAAAACATGTGACAAGCCTCAATGTTTTATAACTTGTCCCAAACAGCATCTAAATCATGTTAAATCCAGTGTCATGTTTAGCCATATTCAGTACAAATTATGATCCTTTATGACCCCCAAAATCCGTTGATCATCAAATTTGTCCCAAACATACTGAAATTGCCGATTCACTTCAGACGCAGAAATCACGACCCACATCGCCGCAGAAAAAAGTTTCGCGCCTGAGCCGATGCGCCTGACAGGGCCACCGTGGTCACCGTGGGAGGCCCCCCAGTGATGTTTGTTGGTTTAGATAAGCCCCAGCAACTATAGCTATAAATGCCATAAACCATAGTGAAAATGGACTTATGTTCACCAACTTAGCTATCTTGGGGGCCTCACATTGTACATGAAGGTATACACGTATATACCCTCTGGTAAACGAACATAGCGAACTGGAAGATCATCATCTTTAAGTTCGGTAAATCCACGAACTTTTCCTGAGCCGTTTGAAAAATAGCAAAGTGTTAGTCATTACCTAATCGGGTAATCCCATTGATTCATTGATTCATTCTGGTCAAGTTCGGTTGATTGGATATACCCTCTGGTAATTTAACATAGCTATTGAAAATGGCCATTTATAGTGTTTTTTCCCATTAAAAATGGTGATTTTCCATAGTTATGTGGCTGTTTACCAGAGTGTACATCTCGTTACGTCGTTGGATGATGAAACATATTGTAATACGTGACCCTCTAATTGTTGGCGAAGGTTGGATGGTAAACTATGTGATTTACATGACGGATGCCATCAAAAATAACCCTATATCATCCCCTATCCCATGAAACATGGAATACCGTTGTTGGTTGAAAACAGCTTCCCATTCATCATATTCATATGGGATAGTTCATAATCCCCAAAAACATCCAATAACCAGGTAGAACCTATACCCCAATAGCCCAGGTATACGGTATATTATTATATCCTCAAGGCGTAATTGGTTAGTTCATAACCCCAATATTATGTTCAACTGGATATTGGGGTATACTAACCCCAGTTGGTTAGTCCACAACCCCATAATTGGTTAGTTCAGAACCCCAGCTGGTTAGTCCACAACCCTGTCATATTATCATCTGCATGTCCAACTGGAGCATCGGCTTGATGACTGGTAACACCTTTGCGAAGCGTCTCAAAGACAGGCTCTTCGGCCATCTTCTTGCCTGTCTTGTAGAGCTCTACGTTTGTTGACAACATGTAAGCATTATACACCCCCCAAAAAATCAGAACAAATATATATATATATATATGTATATATCTTATATTGATTTGTGTTTACAGTTCATGGATAGGATTTCACATGATTTCACTGTCCTATCTTTTTTGGATGTTTCATTTCATCTCCATCTCCGCATCACGGGCCTGCACCAGCCCCGGGAACGGCCACTTGTGCCAAGTGTCGCCCAAGCAACGGCTCCTGCACTTGTTGACATTAAAAAAAACAAAAAAAAACGACATAACGCAAGTCAAAGAAGGACCATCCAAAAAAATATGGTTGAACAATGTTTGAACATGTATGGCCTTTTTCAAAAACGGCTCAACATTAATTATCTATATAGGTTATGGGTACAAGAGTATAGGTACAAGGCGTTGACAAGACATATTAATTTGTTTCTATTGTCCTGGCAGAGAACACCAGTGCATCTCCAAATGAACAGCACAGAAAAACGCACATCTTGTCCGTCACCATGTGAGCAGGGGGAGTGTCAAAAACTCATCGACCAGAGGCTTCACTGCATCACCTGGTCTTCTTCCTGTTGCTGTTGTGGTTGTAGTGTTGGACTGATTTACTACAGCTGGTTGGTGGTATACCCACCCCTCTGAAAAATGATTGAGTACGTCAGTTGGGATGATGAAATTCCCAACTGAATGGAAAATTACCAGAGGGTATTTCCTATTAATACCCCCATTTTGGTTGGTGAATTCCCTATGAATCACCATGAATCACCCTTATGAAATTCCCAACTGAATGCAAACATTTAATCAGTAGCCATTTCAGGAACCAATTTATTGGAGGTACCGATTCCATATATAAGGCCTATTTTTCAGGCCTAAATTTCAGGGGATATACCCCCAAAATATGGCCTTATATGGTACAGTACCTCCATTTATTGGATCCTGAAATTTTCATTGATATAAAAAAAATCTTCCAAACCACCAACCAGACAGTGTTTGGTGAAATTTCCTGGTTTGATTTGAGAACTTCACCAAGGTCAAAAAGGAAACTGGGATCCGTGGAAATCCCCGATGAATCCCACCCATATGCAACCCATGGTGTTGGTATATAAAAACCTACACAACTGGGTGATGTTTAAGGCAAATGTAGGTTTTTATATACCAGCACCATGGTTCGCATATGGGATATAAATGGAAGTGCTACCCTCTGGTAATTTAACATAGCTATTGAACATGGCCATAGAAATAGTGAGTTTTCCCATTCAAAAAATGTGATTTTCCATAGTTTTTTGTATGTTTACCAGGCCGGGTACTAGAAAATCATCCTTAAATGGTGCATGTTCCATTGCCACCTCTGATTACCAGCACCCTTTTCTTTCTCCACTCTTCAACATCCTCCAAATGCGGATTTGGTCGTTTGATGTTGCTCCACATCCAAATTGATGAAAGTCAATTGGCCTCCATTGTCTTGTTTTCATGGCCAATCAGCCAGATACCCTGCAAAAAATGACAATTTCTTTGCTGGTGAACGTAGATATTCCCATTTTCATACCAGAAGACTAGTTAGGATTAATAGGTATCCAATGGTATCCATGTAAGATTGATCTAGTTTTTATATATCTTGTTTACGTGAAACAACTATATATTTGCAACTATGACACCACAAAATCACTGAGCTTAAATTTCTTTGTCGCAAGTGATCTCCACGTTTCTCGATTTTGGTGACTGATATCCCCATCTTCGGTGGTTAACCAATTCTAAACCCATGAGCTAACCATATTTTCTGCTTCGAACAGTCAATGAACCCATTTTGAGGTTTCCTAAGTCATAGGGGTAGCCCCAAATCCTCTATGTTAGTAGGATTTTCCATGAAATAGTCACCATCCAATGCTCGCTTGGGGTACCACCATGACTATGGAAAGCCCCATATCCACCGGGTTAAAGGCCCAACGCAACAGGCTCTACCCAGACAAGGGGGTGTTCCTGCGCAATTGGAAAGGTAAACTCGGCGACTCCATATTCATCCTTAGGGGCAGAGCTTGGATCAGGTGCAACCAGTATAGGTATGGTTCAAAAGTAGGTAACCATAGGTACAATGTGAGGCCCCCCAGTGAAGTTTGTTGGTTTATAATCCCCAGTAACTATAGTTATAAGTACGATAAACCATAGTTATTGGAGTTATAAACCAACTTAGCTATCTTGGGGGCCTCACATTGTAGCCCTAAAATTAAATTTTTTGATACCAAACATGAACAGAATCTGCGTTTTTTTTGGCCTCAAAACTCTTTACGCATAGTGTCAAAGTAGCTTCTGGTGCGACCCCCCCACCAGAAGTAAATATGTTCTCTGTCCTTCATGGTTTAATTGGTACTCGTATTCTGCTTTTTACTTGTGATAGGGGTTGCAATTTGTGGTGCTGACCCTTCCCTATCTCATTATTTGATTCTTATTCTCATCATTCTGGGCAAACAATAACAATACTACCTGGTGGTTCATCCCATTTAGTAAGTGGGTTATAACCCCAATTTTAAGTGGATTAACCCTACTTATCCCATTTATAACTGGGGTTATAACCCACTTACGATTCGTGGGATGAACCACCAAGTATTAATTCACTAACCAGAAATGGCCCGGCCATAAACAGGTTCGATTCCCCGAATCCAATTCCCATGATTTCAATGAGGTCACAGTGGGAGCTTCGGCTTGTAGGTATCCGCGTTGTTCCAGAATTTGGGCTGGAGAACACATGCGGAAATTTGCGTTGTATAGGAACACATGTCCCTTGGAAACACACAGAAATATGTATATATATGTATATACACATATATATTTATATATGCATATATATATATATATATTTATTTATTTATTATAATATGTGTGTGTCTGAAAATGTGATATCTCCCCTGAAAATTGTTAGTGTCAGAAGGGAACACAATGATTTAACCAATTATCACATAATGGTATTGTCAGATCAATGCAATTTTTATCGACATTTTGGGGGCGCGAAACAAACTAAAAATCATCGTCCAGGCACTGTTGCTTTCATGGTCTTGATGAGCTTAAAACCTTCTGGACTCATCACCTGGCGACTGATCGGCGTTGTCGACTTGGCGGCGCCAATGCAAATCGTGGCCAAATCGTGGATAACCGTTGGATAAGCTGCAAAGAAACATGTTACCATCTGGTTATGACTAACATAGCCATGGAAAATCACCATTTGTAATAGGTAAACCATCTATAAATGGACCATTTTCCATGGCTATGTTAAATAACCAGAGGGTAGATCAGCAGGATGTCATACAAAGTTGTCTGGCTGGTGGTTGAGCCACCCCTCTGAAAAAATATTAGTCAAATGGGATTATTGTTCCCAATATATGGAAACATATAAAATCTTCCAAACCACCAACCAGTTGTGTACCCGTAACATAAACATGAACTACATCGCCATGGTTCGAACATGGAGGACAAACCTTGACATCTGAAGTACATTTCACCCAGGAGACCCTGGGTGACACAGTGAAACGCCACCCAGAGGTTGGTTGTTAAAAACAGATTTATGACGCACACGTTGTGACTAACGTTGCAAGAATGTCTCAACATCATTATTTTCTGGAATGTAAGCAAATGTCGCTAATCTTCAACAATTTTAGAACGACGTCATTAGGTTTCAATTTATAGATAAAACATGGCAAAAGTCCAGCAACTAACATACCGCACCAAGGATTGTTTGAATTGGAACAATAACTTCAATTTGCCCCTGGTACAATGAAAAAACAATCGCTTGGTGCCCCCATAAACTTTAGTAGTGGACCTATAGATCTGTAATGGATGAACATGGATGAACCTCAGGGGTTGTCCATCCATTCCCGCCCGCAATACACTTCCATCCACTACAGTTAAGGCCCTTTACCAGTTATAAGTACTTATAACACCATTTATAGAATGTATAATCCCATTTATAACCAGTTATAACTAATAAATGGCCATAACTGTACCCTTTACGAGTTGGTTTCCAATTTCGAATCAAACATAGCACGGGAAAAACACGAATTTTAGTTCGATGATTTCTCCGTGAAATGCTTGCCATGTTTGTGAAACCGGAGAGTATATCCCATTGTAAGATATTGTAACACACTAATTTTCCTTTACATTGTTTTAAATTATATATCACCAAAAAATAGTTGGTTGATGTTGGTTTTGTTATCCTTAAAAGTAAGGCTATTGAGAATTGGAGTTTGCCATTCAGAACTAGAGTTGGGTTCAAATTCACAGCAGACCATGGAAAAGGGGACCAATGCACAGCCCACTGATGTGGCACAGGCAGTCCTGCCGAGACCATTGAGTGCCGGAAGTTCCAAACAATAAAATATCACTTCCCCATTCACAAATTGAAATTTGATTCAGGCATATTTGTCCATCCTTTTCTGCTTCCGGCCATAGCCGTTGCGCAACATGTCGTTCCGTGAAAATTGTTGAAAGGAAAACACCCAAAAGATTCGATACCTCCATGATAAATTTGGGTGTTTACATTCCTATAAACTGATTGGAATTTGAAAGGTTGATGACATAATATGGTTGCATTAGTTACATTGTTACCATGCCTATAATTTCTATAAACGATTATAATCCATGATATCCATGATTATTTCTAGAAATCATCATCATCCACAGCTAGATCATTCCCCCACGATTTCACCATTAAAAAAATCCCGGAAAAAACTATAACCAATCCCTATCAATCCCTACTTGGTGGCTCATCCCACGAATCGTAAGTGGGTTATAACCCCAGTGATTTACATGGGATAAGTAGGGTTAATCCACTTATAACTGGGGTGAACTAACCCACTTACCAAGTGGGATGAGCCACCAAGTATAGCCTATAACTCACAACAAAAACCTATACCATCTGGTTATGACTAACATAGCTATGGTAAATCACAATTTCCAATAGGTAAACCATCTATTTCGATTAGGGCCATCTATACCATGGCTATGTTTTCAAAGATTCCCATACACAAAATCTTGAGTTCCCAGAAATAGGACTTTCCACGAGTTTTCCACCAAACTGGGACCTTCCAAACGATAGCTAAGTTGATTTTTGACTCTAGGAATTATGGTTTATGACTTACAGGTGCTAAACGTAAGGAATGAGGGAATGATCCACAATAACTATGAATAATAATAATCCCAGCAGCCCCCAGCAACCCATGCATTCCCTACGTTTAGCACCAGTAAGATGATGCGAAAATAACCATAGTTGATGGGGTTTATATAAGACAACGTTCACATCACCTTTGGGGGGTCTCGCATTGAGAAACAATATGACTGCACCCATTGATGTGAACGTTGAGTCAAAAAATCACCAGTACCTATAGAGTTCGTTATAAGTACAATCAACTAGCTATTGGTGTTATTAATCAACCAACTTAGCTATTGAAGTTACTTAACAATGGTTAAACGTTACAATATACATGGTTGATTTTCCATTGCCATTAAAAATATGATAGTTATTTACTTGGTGGCGAACTACCCGCGGCTCGCGGTTGTGGGTTAGTTCACCCCAGTTCCAAGTGCATTACCCCTAGTGATCCCATGTAAATTAGTGGGGTGAACTAACCCACAACCACGAGCCGTGGGATGAGCCACCAGGCAACCATGAACCGTTTACTCTCTGGTAAACTAACATAGCTATTGAACATGGCCATTTATTTCCTTGATTACCATTAAACAAATGGATGGTAAAAAAAAGGTGGTTCTAACAACATAGTTCGAATACCAGTTATGCCCCACTTTGCAAGTGCCATTTTTGATGGCCTCGAAGCTCAGGTTTCTTGCGAGCGGACGCAGGTCGGCGGCATTCAGCGCCAGTGCGCGCAAGCGCACCACTTGCCCGGGCCTCAGCGGCACAATTTAGGTCCCAGAGGAAAACCAAAGGAAAAACGGTGATTTATGGTGCTTTATGGTGATTTATGGTGATTTATGGTGCTTTATGGTGATTCATGATGATTTATGGTGATTTATGGTGATTTATGGTCCCAGACATCAAAACTTGCAGGAAACAAAGCGGGGCATAGCTAAGTTGACTTTATAACTCTAAAAACTATGGGTTTTCGATACTTATAACCATAGATAATTGGGTTTCTAAACCAACAAACATCACTGGGGGAGCCCACATTGTCTGCGCCACCAATCTGGCATTTCTCTTTGGATGCCCGGAGCATCTTGGTGAGAACATATGTGAAGGTACAAGTAGAACTAAGGTGAGGTGGCCAAGTACCCACGGTTCCAAAAATCCAACGTACAAATCACTGGGGTGAACTAACCCACAACCACGAGCCGTGGGTAGTTCGCCACCAAGTGTATATCAAATATTAATCATGCTATATAATTATATATATATATCTCTCTCATATAGTTGCCATAATTAGTGTACCCCAAGAGATGGTTGTAAACTTCACGATTTTTCATGGGCCTCACCCACAGCCATGAAACCGTTTGGACCGAAGGCTGAAGGCCTTGCTGGAATGCTACTTCCATGGGGTGTGGCCCTTCGTGCTGCATCATCTCGGGCAGCTTCAGCAGCCTTTGCTGCATTCGTTTTCAGACGATGTTCCATCAGAGCCTTCTCGGCCTCCAAGAACAAATCATGCCTTTCTTTTTTAGCCTTCTTTGCCTCTGAGACAAATTGCTCTTCCTCCATGCTTTTCTTTTTTTCCACCTCCACAGCCGTTTCTGCCAGAGTGCTTTCCTCTGTAGCCACCCGGCTCGCAGCCTCTAAGGCTGCTTCTGTAGCAGCATCACCATACGCAGATTGCCTTTGCCCACCCGATGACGAATGGATCTTTGAATGTTATAGTCCTCCATGATCTCTGTCCTGAGAGCAGCCAAAGAAACAACATGTGAAGGACTGGAAATAGTCAAAAGGGTTGATGTTCACTCATGTGAAATTGTAAAGACATTTTTTCCAAGGAACATTACATCATCCAAAGGTAGCATCGCAACTGATGCTGGGGCCAACAATAAATTCCTTCTCAAATTTTCTGCCTCCTTCGCAGCTTCAGCATCTACCCTTACAAGCATACAGTTATGGCCCTTTGTATACCAGTTATAAGTCAGTGAAATCATCCCATTTATGGAATTATAACCCTATAGAAATAGCCATTCACAACTGGTTGGTGGTTTTAACCATCTTGAAAAATATGAAAGTCAATGGGAAGGATTATCCCATATATTATGGAAAATACAAAATGTTCCAAACCACCAACCAGATAATCATAGAAATAACTAGTATTTCCGGCCAAAAAACTATAGTTATAGTGGCCCCATATCCCAACTGGCTCGGGGCATATTTCATCATGATTATACCATGCTATAAGTAACTTCTGGCCTGCACCCACAGGTAGGTAGTATATCCCATTAGAATCCAATTATATCCTATGAAATCACATTATACATCGTTTAAATCCCATTAAATCCCATTAAATCTCATTAAATTCCATTAAATCTCATTAAATTCCATTAAATCCTATTGAAATCTCATTCAATTACCATTTTTCTTGAGATCTCCAGCATTTCGGGAAGCTACCGGGGATATGATCGTTCGCTCCATATGGTTTCCCGGTCTG